CACCTCCTGCACGTAGGAAGTTTTATGCCTACAACTATGATTACAATCCCAACAAGTTTAGAGCTGCAAGGAAGATTCCCTGCAACTTCAAACTTGATGTAGGGACACACACCATTAACTACTCCGGACCCAAACTTAATTGGGTACCAAAATCTTCCTCCTCCTAATGCAGGAAGCCACTAAGTACCCAGGTGTCTGGTACTTAGACAGTGGCTGTTCAAGACACATGACGGGTGATGCGAGCCTTTTGAGCAATCTAATTCCCTATGATGGTCCAAGAGTTACTTTTGGAGGAAGCAATGATTTCGGCCTTACTAAAGGGCTAGGAAATCTGGTGTACAAGGGACTAACCATCCAAGCTGTATCTTATGTTGAAGGGCTCAATTACAACCTTCTTAGCATAAGTCAGTTTTGTGATAAAGGTTACTCCTTGGAATTCTGCAAGGACATGGCATCTCTCAAGAACATCTCCACAAATGAAGTCATTCTCACTGGGAAGAGAATCAGAAACATTTATGAAGTAATATGGAGCGATGTCAAGGAAGCATGTCTAATCAGCAAAGGTGACACTAACCTTCTATGGCTTTGGCATAAGAGGTTGAGTCATCTCAACTACAAAACCCTCAACAAGCTGTCCAAAGAAGAGTTAGTAGAAGGTCTTCCCAAAGCTGCATTCAGAAAGGAAAGTATTTGTGATGCTTGCCAAAAAGGAAAGCAAGTCAAGTCCACCTTCAAGGCAAAATCGGCACCCTCAACTACAAGGATATTAAGTCTTATTCACATGGACTTATTTCGCCCTGTTACACCAATAAGTCTAAGTGGAAAGAAATATGTCCTGGTGGTAGTTGATGATTACTCAAGATACACGTGGACAATCTACCTCAACAGCAAGAAGGAGACTCAAGGGAAACTCACCAACTGCATGAAGCTGATTCAAAACCTAGCAAGTCAGACCATTCAGAAGATTAGATTTGACAAAGGCACAGAATTCCTGAATGAAATCATCATTCACTACTGTGAAGAAAACGGAATTCTTCATCAGACATCTGCAGCAAGGACACCTCAATAGAATGGTGTAGCTGAAAGAAGGAACAGAACCCTAAAGGAAGCAGTGAGAACCATGCTAGCAGAAGCTTGCTTACCAAAGAGGTTCTGGGCTGAAGCAGTTAACACAGCCTGCTACACTCAAAATAGGAGTATGATTTATAAAAGGCACAACAAAACTCCCTATGAACTGTGGAACGGGAGAAAGCCTAATATATCATATTTCCATATTTTTGGGAGCAAGTGCTTTGTGTTAAACAACGGGAAGAATCATCTGAACACTTTTGATGAGAAATCAGATGAGGCCATCTTCCTAGGATATTCCATGGTAAGCAAGGCATTCAGAGTCTTCAACAAAAGAACCATGATNTTGCCGGATGCAAAGTTGACCGGAAAAGTACATCTGGTACTTGTCAATTCATTGGTGGAAATCTTGTTTCTTGGTTCAGTAAGAAACAAAACTCCATTTCTACATCAACAGCAGAAGCAGAGTACATTGCAGCTGGTAGTTGTTGTGCTCAAGTTTTGTGGCTAAAGCAACAACTACTGGACTATGGAGTCAAGACAAAGGAAGTGACAATCTTTTGTGACAATCAAAGTTCCATAGCCATCTCTCAAAACCCAGTGCATCATTCTCGCACTAAGCACATTGATGTCAAGCAACACTTCATCAGAGATCATGTGAAAAAGAAAGATATCAAAATTGAGTATATCTCAACTGAAGAACAACTGGCGGATATCTTCACCAAACCACTAAGTGAAGCCAAGTTTTCCGATTTGCTTCACAAAATTGGTCTAATTCAATTAGACTAAATGTAGTGCACGTGGCAGTTCACTTTCCACGTCTGTCAAAATGATGGGTGGGGACGTGGCCTTGGGAACAGTTAAAAATCCAATCGCCACTAGCCGCATAAATCGCCCACATTAAACCCAATCGTAACTATAATCAGACCTCAACTGCCCCACTCAGCACACTTAAATCTTTCATCGCCTTCCTCACGAG